GAGGGAGGGAGAGAGGGGGAGAGAGGGGGGAGCGAAGGAGAGAGAGGGGGAGAGAGGGGGAAGGAGAGGGAGGGAGAGAGGGAGGGAGGGGGAGGAGAGAGAGAGGGAGAGGGAGGGAGAGAGAGAGGGAGAGGGAGAGAGAGAAGGGGGAGGGAGGGAGAGAGGGGGGAGAGGGGGGAGGGAAGGGGAGAGAGGAGGAGGGAGAGAGAGGGAGAGAGAGGGAGGGAGGGAGAGAGAGAAATCTATTATTGTTGGCCAGAAGCAATCCTCACGTCTCTCACCTGGCGTTCTTTCTGCTTTCTCCCCCCCCCCCCCCAAGGCCCCCCATCCCCTGGATTTACAGCTGACCCGCAACACACTTTTTCAGCTCGGCTTTGGGGTCATCCGAGTGCCCCCCTTTTCTCAAGCCAAGAGACACATCTGGGATTTAAAACAGCCACCAGCTCAAAATGGGGAGCGCCGAAACAAAGGCCGGGAATGGCCAAGGGTAAAAACAAATAAATAAATAAATAAATCAGACACAAACTTAATTAGCCCCTAATTAACTAAATTAAATATTCGGTTAACATGATTATAGTCCCATCTCCTTGAAGCCAAACTCCAGTCCTGGGGACTTCCTTGAGTGTGTCCTTGGGTCGTGTTCTTGGAAACAGAAGTGAACAGGGTGGCCAGTGTCCTTTTCCTGCAGCATCCTTAGGTCGTACAGGTAGTCCTTGACTTACAACAGTCCATTTAGTGACCATTCAAAGTTGCAACGGCGCTGAAAAAAAGCGACTTATGACCAGTTTTTCACGCTTACAACCGCTGCAGTATCCCCCTGGCCACGTGAATCCAAATTCAGACGCTTGGCAAGTGACTCCTATTTATGACGGTTGCAGCGTCCCGGAATCACGTGATTCCCTCTTTTGCAACCTTCTGACCAGCAAAGTCAAAGGAGGCCCCAGATTCACTTAGCAACCATGTCACTAACTTAGTGGAAGGATTCCCTTAACAATTGTACCAAGAAAGCTTGTAAAATGGAGCGAAGTTCACTTCACAAAATGTTTCATTTAGCAACAGGACTGTCGATTTTGGTCGTAAGTGGAGGACTACCTGTACAATAGGCAATAATTTTTCACTTCTGCTGCATCGAAAAACAGAATTGGGTGACAGCTTTTGGAAGGTCTCCAAGGGTGTTGCCCAAAGGCACATGCAGCCTTAGCCCATTAAAAAAGAAGAAATGAGAGCCAATTTGGTTCAGGAGTTAAAACACCAGGCTAGAAACCAGGAAACTGAGAGCTCTAGTGCTGCCTTAGGCATGAAAGCCGGCTGGGTGACTTTGGGCCAATCCCCAGGAGACTGAGATTTATTTATGACGCTTGCACTGTCCCTGGGTCATGGGATCACCTTTTGCGACCTTCCGACAAGTCAATGGGGAAACGAGATATACTCAACAAAGGTATTACTAATTTACTAACTACAACGATTGACTTAACAATTATGGCAAGAAAGGTCATAAAACGGGCTAAACTCACACTAAGTGTCTCACTTAGCAACATAATTCTGGACTTAATTATGGGAATAAATTGAGGACTTCCTCGACATAGAAGTTAAGGTTTTTGCAAATATTTTTCTATATTTCTCACTCTCATCTCTCGCCAATCTCTCTCTCTCGCGCGCCAATCTCTCTCATATCTCTTTCTCTAATTTCTCTCTCATCTCTCTCCAAACTCTCTTTCTCCAATCTCTCTCTCCAATCTTTCCCTCTCCAATCTCTCTCCCGCCTCTCTCATCTCTCTCCAATCCCCCTCTGTCCAATCTCTCTTTCCAATCTCTCTCCAATCTTTCTCTCTCCAATCT